TGTTTAAGTAACTCGCTTTAACACGACGGGCGACAATACAAGGACATTTAAAATTTATACACTTCGATCTGCATTTTGTAAAAAGTATTTTTGTTAATTTGATATTTTAGATAGTGGTGTTTTTTTAAGGGGAGAAAATCATCGAATGACTTCTCCCGCCTGGGTGAAGTGGGAGGGAGTGTCAGACTCTTACTGACTAAAAACCACCCCGATCCTACTCTTGCACTTCGAACCGGAGCCCCGGTAACCAATTAGGTTCTCCGCGACTCCAAATCGGCATCAGCCTTATTGGGCCCCATCCGTAGTGTATAGACAGTGGCGTGAAGTTGGGCGCTAAATAAAATTACTGAAGGTCATTATAATTAGTAAATTTTAATTAATTAATCATATGTCATAGAACTAGCTTCTAAATCATAAAAAAATGAAAGTGTTATGCCTGACTGTAGTCATTTTTTAATAACAAAAGTTAACTCAAAAGTATGAATTAGAAAACACGTATTAAATGTACTAATTCATACATTCTTAGGAACAAAACTCTCAACATATTTCTTAAAGATTCTGCTAAACAAATTTCAACTTTAAGTCAACCGTAAAAGTCTGTTTACAAGAAAATTTCCACGGCATGTTTTTCAAAGGAAACATTTTCACAGAAGGCGGAACTCGAAATATACGATCTGAAACTAGCCAAGCACAGGAAAACCGCACACCTCAACCTCAAACCCTGAACTTCAGCAGCCATTCACTCAATTTTCTACTACACGAAAACTCGTATGAAATATTTTGAATGAAAACTGTAAATTAATTCAGGCGAACATTAAAGCAAACTAGTTGAAATTACAACGACACGAAACCAATTAACTGATCTACCTTGGGAGTTATTGGATGAACGAAAAATATTATCCGGTTAAATTTAAAATTGAACCGGATACTTTTTTGCTCATTTCCCAATTATTCGTAATGAGGATTGAATGTAAGGAATTAATTAAGTTGATTGACTAATTGGTTCACTTCTTGGTGTGACGTGCATTGAAATTATCGCCAAAAAAATGCCTCATGAAAAAATCACTTATCTTATTTGTTTAACCATTCTAGAATAGAACAGTATTGTGTTAAAGATAATAATTAATTAGAATTCCACACAAGACATACACACGTCTTGATTGTATTTAACATCATACTGGGATAATAGCTCTTTTGCCGTGGGTATGATAGAGGAACATTTCAATAACAAGTGTTTTGATTATTAAACTCTTTTAAGTCTTAAAATTAAATAGAGGAATTGATAATAATTTCCTACTACATTCGTTTAAATGAACAGACTTATACGTAGAGGCCAGTGAGTACAAGCCATTCATAAACCATTGAATATACTGTCGTAAGAAGTACAGGTGAACTTTCTTTTGCCCAAATGTAAATAAAGAAAATTTTGCGTAATATAAAACAACTTTCGGTTCAAATGGAAGGCCCCTTCCCCTTTATCGTATTTTCCTGTTTCGTTTTTATACAATAAAGTTTATTTATGTTCATTTCATTATCTAGATATTTTGTAATAAAATTTTATTTTTTGACATAGGAAAATAAGTAATTTGATTGATGTAAAAGATGTAAAACCTTATTTTAAACTTTAACTTTTAAAATTTCTTGGTTGAATCTTGGCTCAAAAGGTCATATTTGTACATATATGACATTCTCTAATATCAAGTTATTTTATGTGGCATCATGTGTTATTTTGTGTGTTGTTAATTGTCTCAATCAAAATTTTTCATTAAACGCAGAAAATTATTAAACTAAGCGCCATATCGATTTTATTATAGACTCATTCTGAAAAGTATAGTTAGAACCGAAAAACAAAACTGCACTTAAATAAAAAAGTTAATAAACTGACTTGACGAAATACCATTTCCGACAGAATCATCGAAATACCGTCTATCGTCTACTGAGGTTCGATTCCAAATCCCACTAGAGTTGACTTAATCATAAGAACGCCCGCGAAATCGCTACCGCTCAAACGAGGCTCTGGGGACTAACCGACTATCGGCCTCCTTGCTTCCTTACTGGCCGAACTAGTAGTAGGGGAGCCCGCGATACTAAATTTCGAACCCTTGGAGCCTTCTAGGAACTTACTGAATTTTGAAGATTTGATAATAGATAGAAAAAAAAATGTTTATCCTGTTGTGTGCCAGAACGCAGGTTTTTTCTATAGTGTCTTATATTTGAGTGGTTAATTATATTTTCTTAGAAGAGGAAGCAGTCGGTCAGTTTTTTAAAATTATTTGTGCTGATTTTGCTAGTGTATAAGTTTCATTTCATCTCAAAATGAAATAACCTGCTAATATTCATAGTAGAGTTAATTGGGTCAGACGGTAGTCGAAAACTCTTCAACCCCTTCTACTCTTACAAATCACGTTCAAATTGGTAGTTTCCAAATGCACTTCCCTTAGCATGTAATCGAATACTTTTTATTAAAGTCGAAAAATCATCGAATGGCTTCTCCCGCCTGGGTGAGGCGGAAGGGAGTTTCAGATTCATACTGACTAAAAACCACCCCGTTCCTTCTCCTGCACTTCGAGCCGGAGCCCCGGTTACCCGTTAGGTTCTCCGCGACTTCGAATCGACAACATATGAATACTAGGATACTAGGTTAGGTATCCCATTTGACAACTTCAGGTGAATACCGAAATCCCATCATGGACTCTCTTACTATAGCAAACTTGGCAGGATTACATCAGACTTACCCCCTCCCTCAATTGCCGTATGAAAAACTTGAGCCGTTAAAGTGTTGTTGCATTTTTTGCCTACTTTTAAAACGTTAGCTTGATTTTAAAACCAGCTCAGTTTAAAACTACGCTTTCACGATGGTTTCTACTTTTTATGGTTCATTCACTTCATAAATAGTTGGTTACCTGTTTTTCTTGTTTGTTTATGTAGTTGTGTTTTATAATGTGGTTGAGATTTATAGTATTGAAGTAACTCTTTTTTAATGCTTGCACTTTCGCTTATTCATTTTGAAGTAACAAAATATTTTTACGTACAGTGCAGTAGTGATACCACGAACTCATAGACAACCGACGTGAAACAACGCTTGAGTGTGAGTGAGGAGGCCCAATTACCCCCTCTCCCCAGTCTCCCCCAAAATCCTCAAATTCCCAATTCCCAAAAGGCCGGTAATGCACTTGTAACGCTCTTGGTGTTTCGGGTGGCCGTCGCCGATTGCTTACCATCAGGTGATCCGTCTACTCATTTACCGGATTATCCCATATAGATAATCTTGACAGCTTTTATCGACTTTGTTGCTATAAAAAATCAACCATATTTCTTTTGATTGACAAGGATCAAATAATTCTTTTAAATATGCATTTATTGGTATCTAGAAAAGTATCTGGTTTTGTGTACTGTTATGTTAGTATTTCATTGTTACAATAATTTAATAACTACACACTACGAACTTAAATTATAAATAATTAAATAAAAATGCAAGTAGTACCCTCAAAATAATGTAATACTGTAAAAAAATTACACTTGAAATATTCAATGGCTCTTCCATCGTTTCACTTTACTTTCAATATGAACTTTGCAGCAATTATTTTAACTTCTCGCCATTTCTCAAGTAAATTATAATGAGCCCAGGTGCTAATATCATATGGCACAATTTAGTTTATAGATGTCACTTGTCATTACGATCTTGTTACATACGACGCAAAACAAATAGGTATACACTTAATAATGATTGAATGTGCACATAAAAGCTTATGTACCTTTCAAGATATAGTTACACAGAAGACTCTATGTCTTACTGCCTAAGGTTCTTATCACATTGTATGTTGACTTAAAATTTGATACGGTAAATAGGAGTCCCCAAGACGCGCGGTATTAAAGCTGGCTTATGGCACTGTATTAATTCTGAACCGTAGTAACTTAGGTGGTGACAGAACTAAGATACCAACGCATAATTCACTTGGTAACACAAATGAAACTAGCGCTTAATTTACTGTTATAATTTAGTGAATTCCTTTACAGTCCAAAGCGTAGTGAGGAACTTAGCGGTGAGATGGGATTCTGTTGTGTGAAGGAATTAATACTATATTGCTGTTGTGGTCTGCGTTATCTTGTACGAATTTGTTAGTATTTAATGCAGTTGCTAAAATTTACAAACGGGAATAGGTATTAAACAATGAATAGCTGGTTGATTTCTGGGGTAAAACTCAATCTTTGCTATGTCTTTTAAATTTGGAATTATCTGTTGGTATTGGAGTTGATTAAGAATATTAGGAGTAGACTGATAGATAAATTACAGATTATATATTAGTACAACTTTTAATAACTGTCTCAATGGATAGCGAGTATCATCATTACTTATATTTTCGGTTCATATAAACTCGCTGAAACCTAATGGTATAAAATTAACAGTAGATATAGGTAGGTACCATTATTCCAAAATATTAAACCATGAAAATTAGACATTTAAAATATAATACTCTTTGTTAGTTATTCAAGTAGTTTTTGAGATACGTACATAACTACTGGCTACATTTTTGAGATACGTACTACGTGGCTGATAGTAATTATCAGAATTGATCTTAAAAATCTAGAATGTAAATAGAACAAGAGCTCATCATAGTACTTGTGCTTTATCTAGAAAGTTGCCCAATTTTTATTATTACCCCTGTACATATGAACAAGCAACAACACGTGAAATTGCTTACAAAAAAGAAAAGGGAAAATCACACGGAGCGTAGCATCACGGGCCGACTCGGTTCGCGAACTACATTACAGTTTACATAAAAACATCGCGTTCAACGACAACGGGGCATCAACTTTCCCAGCGAAGACATAAGCGAAATTGAATTACACATATTGAAAAAGAAATGTGTAGCTCCTTGGTAGGCGTGGTTTTGTTGGAAGACTCCTCCTACCCAGTGATCCGCGCATGAATCGCACCGGCATCGCTCTCAAGTCGGCCGGCCGCTCCGTGTGTCACGAACAAGTCAGTGCGAACCCGACCGCGCGCTAGGGCTGTGTCGCGCCACTGCACAACTTGCTCCACACGACGAACTTACTTCCAGTTTGTGTTTTGTTACGCGAAAATACACAAAACTTTCGTGTTCAACTTGCGTAAAATTTAATATAACTTTACCGGATCAACACGAGAAGTGATGGACGAGATTAATGCCTGTTAACAAATAATTTGTTAATTAAACTGACCAGGTTTGAGTGGAATCCATGTTCAGTGAGTGTGGCGAGGATGACAACCGCACGTTTATTTATTACAGATCTGTTCCATGAACTATGACCAGTTACAGAAATATTTTTTCATTTTAACATATTGATGTAGGTGAGTATTTATTGAGTAACATTACTTTTAATGCAACTTGAAAGCTCATAAAATATTTTTGAAGTTACTTAACGAACATACTTATATAAATACAACTTACTTACTTACTTACTTATATAAGTAACGTGTTATTTAATGTTGTATTTACAATATTAAATAATAAGTTTTCCATTACTGGTTATGCTGAGGTTTTCATATTTTGTTTTAACATCGTGGAAGTAACTGAAGAAAGTTTAAAGTCATGTCTGAATAAATTATACTTAAGTAAAAGGCTTCAACTATGGAAACTTAAGCTGAAGAACAAGTAAATGAAGTGGTTTAAACTCATTAACTATGCCTGAATGTTTGTGCTCTAAGTTTACTCAGTAGAGAAGAAAGCCCGGGCATGACTTCTTGTCTAAGTAAGTGCTTAAAATCATTTTGAAAACCTTCCCTAATATTAGACGATCTATCCAAATTAAAAGGGTAAAATAAAGCGACTTGAACTACTTAAACCAAAATTAGCGCTAAAGTATATAAAATACGGCCTGTGGCGTACAAAATTGTTGTCGGATGCCCTGCTCGTGACGTAGGCACCCACTCAGGGATTTTTCCAAATCGCCCCTTAAGCGAGGTAAAAAGGGATAAAGTACGTTTTCACAGGCAACGCCGCGGGCCCAGCGGCTAGCAATAAATAAAGTTGGCAATTGCTCTCCCCAATGAAGCTCGAATTTTTCAACCAGAAATACTTCGAATTAAAGATCTGTAAAATCGCTAAATTAACCGATTGAACAAATATTTTTGTATGATATTATATGCAAACCCATATTATTTTTCGGTCGATCGATTCTGTATACCCGTTTTAACGTATTTTGCAATAAAATTATAGTAAACTTAAGGATTAAAAAATCCATAAATAAATATAATATAAATATATAAATATAATAATTAGGAATTAAAGTAATAACATAATAAAAGCTGGCTATGTATGCAAATTACAACAATAATTTTCAATAAACCATAAAATATTTACATTGCATACTGGATATAATAAAACAATTTATATAAATCAACTTTACGGTCACGTCGTAAATTTGCGTAATTGCTAATAGTCAAAGTATTTTTATTTCATCCTTTCATAATGTTTTCAATATATTTTTTCGTATAACAAACCTACTCGTTAGCTAAATTATTTATTTAGAGCACGATATTAATTCAAAGAATTTTATAAATCGAAAGTGATTTAAAGTTACCGTTCCCTCAAAATGTTATTTAGGGCTCTTTAGGTATTAAAAATTGAACCGAAATTCAAAGCTATTAAGGTCTATTAAGACAGATTTAGATGCCAAAACTCGTTTTGTTTAATCTGATGTTATAACCTTAATACAAACATTTTAACATTTCAAGTGCAAATTACTAGTAAAATGTAATAATATCTTCTATTATATTTATGGACGTTGGTAAAATTCTAACGAATTACGAAACAACCAGTATAAAGGTCAATAGATTTTTTTTAATAAGTTTTTCATTAACTTAAAAGCTTCTTGAAAGCTTAACAAGAAGCTTCGTCAGTTTTACAAAATGCGGACCAACATAATTTAATATTCTATTCATTTTCTGTATGAATTCCTGTGTACAGAATTTTTAGGTGCTTTTTAGAATAAAATGTTTTATTTTATATTTCTTTTTATTGTGAGAGAAAATGTATTTATGTTTTTCAGTAATGAGTACACGTTCACCCCTTTGTTAATGATCATGTAGATAAAGCTGACAAGTAGGTATTATGAAAGTGATGTTTCGTAATTCAATGGGATCATTATGTGAGTATATAAATATATAATACTCGTTCGTTATTTAAGTGATGTAATTTTTGAACGTGTTTAGTAATTGTCATTCATATTCATCTCCGAGGTTTTTTGGGTATCATAAAATGTATGTGCATCTTAACTTTTTATTACCCAAAAGAACGTAATTTCATGGACGTAGTTTTTAAAACTTTGACCATCAATAGTATTTATTCTTTAATCAGTATCTGAATGCAAGTGAAACCTTTTTCTATTAAAGCTTTCAGTTATGAAAATACAACAGCCGATTTTTTTTGCGTGAATCATCAAATAAAAATTATGCGTTACACAACAAGACTACAAAATAACATCGTATATTAAAAAGTATATCGTTAAATTGTAAAACCCTTTGTAACAGGATACAATTAAAATCAATTACAAGCGAGGGTGATTTTTATTAGGACCGCTTATCTAAATAGTGTGAGAAGTAAGCTTAAGTGGATTTGTAGTCACGGCAGAGCCAATGCTTCCGCAATGGTGAGTAATTTAAAGACGGCCACGGCTGATATCTGCGGGGGCATCCATTACCCCCAACAACGGGGTACCAGGCTCCCATAAATTATAAAGAGGAATACTTATACGCTGATTTATATAGAGCTGTAAATTTTCTATCCTATATAGTATTTAGACTCGGTTGCTGTTACCACAGAGTACGTAAAGATATACGGCCTTTAAGATAGGCTACATTACTAAAAACGTTTAGCTAATCAAAATAATTATGATATAGAACTATCTTGGCAACTGAAAAAAAACTAATTTGTAAATTGCAATACAGTTGATTTCAAGAACATCATGCCATTAAAATGTTGAATTAAATACATTCATCTTATGCTCACTTTTTTTAATTCCATTGGTTTAATTCTATTCACTTGTCTATTTCTAGCCCCACTCTTATAGGTAAGCGATTTACCTACTGACACGGTATTGGACGTCTGACGATTCCTTATTCTGTGGTCCTACTTTATAATGGCCAAGGCAACACATGTGAGCCTCAATTACCACAGCTGTTGGCGGTAATACGCGTTCCGTTATGGAGTGAGAAAGATATGTTACGTCGTGACCAAAACGTATTAGGATTTTTTAAATTAAGCCATGGATCCCGGTCAAAATTTTAAAATGGTTGAAGGGCTAATTTGTCTTGTAAAGTCTTAGTGTATATTTTTTGCAAGTGTACTTCTTTTACTTTCCAGTAATAGGTAATAAAGTGATGTTTAAACTTACTTATTTTACTGCCGGGCAAGGGGTCTCGGGTTCGATTCCCGGGTTGGGTAAAGATTTGTGGGATTAAAAAAAATCTCAGTAGTAGCACGGAGTCTGCAATTGTGCCCGGTATATGGCAATAAGCTCACCCCCTATTACATGGGACTCGTAACATAAATAGTGAAAAGTGGATATTGCATTGTACAGTGGTATAATGTGGGCATCATTATCTAATACTTTAGTGAGAAATCAAAAGTCAAAGGTATCTGGTATAAAACTATACAATATGAGCCTCCTCAAGTCCCTTGGTTTTGTAATTTTAAAGTAAAGAGAAATGTCTTAGTAACTGCTCTCAGAATTCGTTCCGGACACATGCCACTACGTTTCTTTGCTTTCCTTATGAAAAAGGTGGATTCTCCGATATGTCCAGTTTGTAGTAATAAAATAGAGGATGTCTACCATCTAGTGGAGTGTGTCGGGAATGATCCTGAGAGAAAGATTTTGATTAATTTATTGAATATTAAAAAGTTAGATGTAGGAG